GGACACTGAGTTGCTTATATGAAACAAAAACCTACCAAAGATCAATCTTTTACACCAAACTCTGCAACAACTAATAGGAAAAGTCACAAAAGAGGGCCTAAAAGTACAAACCATTCATAAAAATGCTTCAAGAGAAATTATCTTTAGCCAGTTAGCTAACAGACAAAATAACCAATACAGATTATGTGTAGCTCTCAGGATCGAAGGTGTTTATTTAAAAGGATTTGTATGTTCAAAATGTTTTAATTAGCCTCTCAGCCAGTCAAAACCCCTGATACGTTTTGCCCAAAAACGTTTGGTTGAGTCATTTTTCAAAATTCAGGATTAGAAAAAATTAAAATAAAATGCGCCACATAACCACATGAACACAGCCCTGAGGCTGAAGGTTGGAGAAACGAATCTGTCTCTGACTCATTCAGCACCATGGCTATTCTGCAGGAAGCTTTTATTGTGGAGGGGGATATGGATGACGCTGACAGTGTGAACACGCTGATGCGTCACCGCTGCATCTAATTTAGTCTCACYGACGACAAGAAAATAAAAGACGTATTTAGAAATCACCCCTCATAAAAAAGCTCACTTGCTTGTGCAGCAAAGGCAGAAATAAAAACAGCACACAGACAATAAACTGCTCTAAGAGATGCTTTTTACAGTTTTTAAAAGTAAATTACAACTAAAAAATAATAAAAAATACAAGGTTAACCTGACCTTTTTGAAATCCCACTTGAGTTTTTGTAGATATTTCTTGTTTAATCACAATTTTCAGTGACAAATTATAAAATCTTATAAACTCAATCAATGTATTGCTCTGGCTTCGTCTCATTAAACAACTTGTAATTTCATATTGTAACACAAAAACATTAGAAAAATGCATCTATAAAAGTGACCAAATTTATAAGAAAAACTTTTCAACCTGCACAAAATAAAATGTTAAAGTTTTTATGTTTTTTAAATGGTGAAACTTTATTTGATTTTAAGGGTTTAAAACATGGTGAGAGTGTGTGGTGCAGGCGAGGCCTTGACCTGTTTCAAACCACTTGTTGCAGCTATAAACTCAAACAGGAACTTCACTGCTGCTGGGAGGAAGACAAATGTTAAAAACACTCTGAAACGTGTGTGTGTGTGTGTGTGTGTGTGTGTGTGTGTGTGTGTGTGTGTGTGTGTGTGTGTGTGTGTG